TTGATTATTTTAGAGGGCGAAGAAACTGAGCAAATTGTATTAGACGGATCAAAGCTTTGTTAATACAACAAATTGTATTGCCGATTTAATAATTTAGTTTTGTTATTTCAACTACTCCATAACAATTTTCTTTGTTCATCAAACAATTCTGTTTGTTCACCAAACAATTCAAATAGTTTTAATAACAATCCCATTTTAACAATTTTTTTTTGTCCCAAAAACAAATAGAACTGCTGGCTCTATATTGACAATCCGGAATTGTTGTGTGGACTTAATTTTTAGTAACCACAACAATTCTTTCTTCTCCGTGTACGACTTTGTTTCAGGCAACCAAAATTTGGTTACAAGAACCAAAATTGCATAACCAAACAATTTTGTTGCAAACACTAAATTTTTTTCTCAGTGATAGTTGTGTATCTTTATTTTTTTAATTTTTTTTTGTTGTTCCTTCTTTTTATAATTACGCAATTTCAGTTGTAAGTAAAAAATAAATTAAAAACAGTTATTAAAGTTAAATTATATATTTTGTAGATTGAAGGAAAATATTTTTTTTTGAATATTTTTAATTATTAAAACATTTTTTTTTTGAATTTATTATTTCATTTTATTTTTTAACATTTTAATTATTGTTATATTGTTATTATTTACTTCTTAACAAGAACAATTTATGAAGTGTCTGGTTTAGTGGAGTTGACATCATGGGTCGTAGAAGCGAGAAACAAAATTTATGCCTGAAAAGATTTTATGGGAAAAGATTAGAACTGTAATTTAGTTGAACTATTTTTTTATGTGACTTAATAGTACTAGACGCTTCTTTAATAATGTTATAAAATGTTTTATTTTAAATATTTATGTCATTCCACGCCGCTTTTGTGTGTAAAATTCTTTATGATCATTCTAGAAAAAAATGAGTTTCGTGTGTCATTTTTGTTAATAACTTTTTTCACGTAGGTATTTTTTTTCTTTTTTTTTTTAATGAGAAAAAAGTAACAAAGTTTTTTTTTTATGGATTTGAAGTATTAAAAAAGAAATTGCTTTTTAATTTTTGTGTACTTTATATTAATTATTATTGCTGTGTATCATCTATAAGTAAATTTTTAATCATTATTTAATATTTATATATAGTAATAATATTAGGGAAATCAAAGTGTAATAAGATTTTTTTTTTTTAGTCATAAAGTGGAAAATATTTTTGATATTGAATTTGGTTTTTTTTTTTTGAAATTCAGGAGGAAAAGTTACTATATAATTTTGTATATTTCTTAAAGTAAAAGAGCAATTTCTCAGTTCGACGAACACATTTAGAATTTAAAGCACGAATCCACAAATCGTAACACTTCGCTCTTGGATTGGAAACGTGCACTTGATAACTTCATGTGCTTCCTGTCACTATCCATTTTCCCAATCTGGTTTATTTAGTTCACACAACATTTCTTCCACTTGGCCTAAATGCTTCAGACTTTGACATAAATCCTATGTAATTAAAAATAATCCAATGGAAAAATATCAGTTTTTATTAAAATAATAATTATTTTATTTATTAATATTTTACGATTGTTTTTTCAAAAATTATTTTTATGTTCATAACTGTTTTAGTTAAATTTTTTGTTGCGAAAAAATAAAAAAATTATTATTATTATTTTCTTTTGAGAAATACAATTTTATTGATGAATATAAATAATATACGACATACATTATATTGTTTTTACCAGGAAATAACATTTTTCATGCTTCCTTTTGATTGATGAACATATCGATGAAATTGATTACCTTCTTGCGATAAAATGTCAGAAAAAACTTTCTAACATTATTTTTAGTACTACTTTTTTTTAATATTGTCTTCGTTATAATTGAATAAAATGATTGTGTACAAAATGTTTAAAAAAAAGTTGCGGAGTATCAATTTATAAAAATAAAGAATATTCATCTATGTTAAAAAAAAAATTTAGAATAAATAAAAAATATTTAGGTAGATATATTTTTGTAATTTTCATATCAGTAGAAAAAGTGAGTTTCAGTGGGACAAAACATTTTGCACTCTAGTTTATATATATGTTTCGAAAAAGGAATTAAAAGACAATTTAAGACAGAATTTTTTTGTTAAATTTACAATTTTATAATATTATATCAATTTTATCATTGAAAAATAATTTCCCTCAGATCTTTAAAAAAAAAATTAAATTTAACATTCTGTTTATAATTTGAAAGGAAATAATAGTAAATAACAAATTTTCATAAATGGTTAATTATTTTTCAGTGATAAATAATAAAGTACAAAGTTTCATTGTTAAAATAAACCGGAATTATTAATTAGACATTATTTACACGAGTCACATAATTAGTAAATCAAATGAGCATTTAAGTGGATTAAATGAATAAAACATGGAATTAAATTATGATAATAATGCAAATCTAAATATAGGTAAATAAATGAAAACAAATGAAAAGATCGATAAATTAATTGTATTTTATTTTTCCAATTATAAATGATAATTAAAAAATAATAATAATAATAATAATAATAATAATAATAATAATAATAATATAGTAAATATAAAAAAAATGAAAATTATTATTATTATAGAAAGTGGGAGATAAAAAAAAATTATCAAAGAGAAAAGATATAAATATCAGGATATAGATTAAGATAAATTATATTTATGTTAATTTATCTAAGAAAAAAACTATTTCGAATCTAAGTATAAATCCTGTAATATATTCTCTAAAAGAAAATCGTAATTTTGGACTATAGGATCTTTAGACTAAAGAAGATGTTGAAAATAAAATATATATTTCTCTATTGTTAGAGTATTTTCGTTTCTGGATCGCATGAGCTTCTTCATTGATCGGCTCAGAATTAATGGTCTTGGAGTCCTTTCTCTCTTTCTCTCTCTCTCTCTCTCACTCTGTACTCTCTTGGGTAACTTGCTCTTTATTGTAAGTAACGGAAGGTTACTTCTAACCTAAATCTAACAATTTCTGATAGGCACTAAAGTCTGAAATGCATTCTTATATAGTGAAACACCATTTCTGTCATCTTATCGCTGAAAATAACTCTTGCCAATTGTATATATCTATATATACAAAAACCCTTTTTTCTCCACTTGTCGATTTTTCGATTACATACCACATTAAATAGAAATAAATATCGTGATTGGAAAAAAACTATTCGATAAATTTTATTTAGAAATTTCAGATAAGAGACACGTGAATTGTAACTACATTTTACTTTTTTTTTTTTGATTTTATTCATTTGGGTCAGAATTCGTTAAAACATCACGAAAAAAATTGCTTTTTTATAAAAATGTTCTGTTTGATAATAAAAATGATAAAAACCAAATGAAAAAGAAAAATTTTTTTTTACAAAAATTATTGCAAACTATAAGTCATATTTTCAAGATTTTTGTATTATTCAATTACTTTAGGTTTAGTTTCGATGCCACACTTATTTATTTCAAATTTGGAAATGAAATTTTTTTATAGTTTTCTATATTACCGACCGGTTAAAGATTTAACTACATGTTAGTATGTTAGTACAGCGCTGACAGTATCCACATTATATAGTGCCGCTCAGCAGATTTTGCCCACCCTACACAATTTTAGGCGTTGCAAAAAGTTTTATATTTTTGTTTCTAATAAAGATAAAACATTAAAGAAAGACTTTTTTAAAGCTTATAATAAGTCGAGAACGGTTGTTTTTTGAAAAAATTCGTTGAGAAAAAAAATGTTCCTCTTTATGTGCAATATAAAAAAATTTTACTTTTCTTACATTTTACAATTTAGTTTCTCATAATTTGATACTTATTTGATATAAATGATAATTTTCTATTTCGTTGATTGTACTTTTAATAATTTTAATTTAAAATTAAAAATCTAATTCTCTTTCTCTTTTTTACTCTCAAGTAAATTAAATTTCAATAAAATGAATATCAAAATGAAATGAAAAATTTATCTAATTATATATGAATTTTATTATACATTATTGAGCGGAAAGTATTTTCGCAAGTAGTATAAGTCACTCTAAGTAGAAAAAGAAATTGCAACCAAGAATAATAAGAAAGGGGAATGAAAGTCTCTTAAGTAGTAGTAGACTGAATTCAGTCAGACAGATCGGTATACTTCAGACGATGTTGACCGAGAGACTATTATTACTTTTCTGATTAGAAGGACTATTGAGAAGTAATTTGAAAGTATCAATTTTATTTACATTTATTATTTCTCTTTTATCAATTTTCTTTCACTTCCCCTCACCCACAGGGACAAAGTTTTTTTTTCTTTTTTAATTTCTTTTAAATAATACATAGAGGGAAAAAAATATCAATAAAAAATTTGTAAAGATAATAAAATTTAAACAAAAATATGTGTGGGAATTTTTTTTTTGTTTTTGTTGAGCTTACGCTTTCGTATTTTCCAGCTTACGCTTTATTTTTTCTTTCTGCTCATTAAATTTTCATATCTGACTTTTTGAGATTCGTATTAAAGTACGTTGAAGCAAAAAAATGTTTTATGTGTTGTTTTCATTAAAATAGGAACAAAAATTAACTCTGCTGTCTGCAAAATATATTTTGTTGAAGGAAAAAAATTATTTTATAACTGAAATATTTTATGATATAAAAATTATTTATGAAGATTGTAAATATTATTCAAGTGAAATATTTTGAGATAATTATTAATAATTCTAGGAATATTTCAAATAAGGTTTAGGAATTTTGATTTCTGGCTTTTTCTTGTTGAAATATTACAAAGGATTTGAATTATTTTGAAACTATGGACAATAATAATAATAATAATAATGAAATATCTAATATATAAAAAGATAAGATAAAATAAATATTGAAGAAATTAAATATTAAAAAAGAAGTCCGAATAAAATTAAATGTGAAAGTTTAATAAAATAAATGTAATATAAAAAAATAATTTTCCTAAGATAAGACAGCTTTCTTATTTTTATTTTTCTTTTACTTTGCCTTTTACACGGCTTTTTTTCAGTTTTTCTCGAGAGTTTCTTCTTGTTTTTTTTTTTTTGTTCTCTCCTTTTTTTCATTTCGCCATTAGTACAGACCACATTTTCATGTTATCTTAACTTTCAAGCTCCCAAAAGACGCTTGACGAAATATCCAGGGAAGGCATAGATACCACAACCTGCAAGAAAAATAAGTAGAAGAACGCCAATGCAGCAAAAAATCTTCCACTTGTAATGGCGGCAAACCACAAAGCAAAAAGCTTTCCACGGATTTCGGAACCAAGAAAAAGACGTGTCAGGTCGGCTGAAAATAAAAAGACGAAAAAAAAGTTACTTTCTGTTTGTAATAATAATTTTGCTGTAATTATTTTTTAATGATATTACACATTTTAATTTATTTGGAGAAAAGAAAAACATAATTTTAATTTTTTTCTACTTATTTTGGTTTATTTAACATTTTCAAATGTTTTCCTAGTTTTGGATAAAATATCTCGCAATAAATTTTCAGTAAATTTTTATTCATAAAATGCTTCATTTAGTTAAATGATAATTATTTCGTTTCACTGATTTAAATAATTGAAAATTCTGAAGACGAAAAATCTCATTTTAATTTAGAATTTATTATTTACTAAATTTAAAGTATATATGGGCATATCTCTAGAACTTTTAAACTTTAGGTTATCGCTCATTATGATACCTTAAGAATTTTTTTAATAATTTTTCAATACCATAATTTGACCAATTATAGGGCTTTTTAAATTTATCATGCATTATATAATTTTTTTAATTATGTAGGAAATGACAAACGTAAGTTAAAGTGGTGAAATCGACAGTTTTTTAGTGTGTGATATTGACTGTTTTTTTTTATTTTATAGACTGTAACTTTTTTAACGAAACATTGTGTGTCTTGTGGCTTGCAATAGAAGTAGGTGGGAGTGTGAAGAACTAAAAAATCCATGAAACAATGATGTGCCTCAAATTGAATAAAAACTATGTAGCTTCAAACTTGCGAGACAACTTTTTCAAAATTTCTACAAGTTAGCAGTTAAACTGACATAACTTTTTTAACGAAGGTTTTTGAGTAACGGCACAACGGGATTATATTATCTACCTAATAAGAAGTAATTTGAACCCATACAGGAATGTGTGCCTCCTTTACACAAAGAATGCAATGACTTCAAACATTAAATTTTAAAACGTAACTCATATCAAAAAACCACATATTTGAAAAGCACATGTTGCATTTTGCTTTTAAATGCTCCCAACTCATTGTAATCTCTTCTCATGCATTATAAAAGTATACAGAAAAATCGTTAACCTTTGCACACTTCATTAAAACTGTATAATTAATAATGAATATAAACCTAAACTGTCCGACGCATAGTTTGTGAAGTATTAACTAATAGATGTGTTTAAATCTGGCTGATATTTCTCACTCGAAGGTTTTTGGGGTCGCTGCGACTACTAATCTGAATTTTAAATTTTCCAAAATTCAAAATGGCGAATCCAATATGGCGGACGACTTTTTAAAAAAGTGATCCCATTGGCCTCAAATTTGTTACTCGGGGATTTTTGGGGTCGCTGATTATGAATCTGAACTTTGTTTTTCAAAATTCAAAATGGCGGATCCAATATGGCGGATGACTTTTAAAAAAATTGATCCAATTGGCCTGAAATTCGTTACTCGGGGGTTTTTTGCGTCGCTGACTACGAATCTGAACTTAGTTTTACAAAATTCATAATGGCGGATTCAATATGGCGGATAACTTTTGACAAAATTGATCCCATTGGCCTAAAATTTGTTACTCGGGGGTTTATGGGGTCACTGATTACGAATCTGAACTTAATTTTTCAAAATTCAAAATGGTGTATCCAAAATTGCAAACAAAATTTTTTAAAAAATTCAAAAATTGTTATAAACTACATTTACTTATGACTTAATAAGCCATGGGACATAAAATTTTCGAAACTGTAGCATTAAATATTTCAATATTAAATTACACATTTTGATTTTTAAAATTTTAGTTTATATTATAATAATATATTTGGGTTTTAAAATAAGTTCAGTTTCGTAATCAGTGACCTTAGAAAACCTTAGGCATAAATTTTTATAAAAATTGAATAATTGAAAAATATCTTTCTGACATATTTGATACACCATTTTAAATATTAGTAATGAAACTTTAAATTTTATGTACATGGTTACAAAAACTAAGCTACGAAAACCCCCAAGTAACAAATTTCAGGGCAATTGGATCAATTTTTTTAAAAGTCGTCCGCCATATTGGATCCGCCATTTTGAATTTTGAAAAAATAACGTCGGATTTGTAATCAGCGACCAAAAAAATCCGCGATTAACAAATTTCAGTCAGTTTTAAACACATCTAGAGATTTTGGGCAAGTTTTTTGCAATAAGGCCCACTGTGCTGCGTAACAATGTGTAAAAATGAATTACGCAAATTTTTTTATAGTATTTGATCAATACTGAAGACAATAAAATTTGTTTCACGAATGTGCCCTGAAAAAAATTAATTTTTCTAATATCTCAAAGTTTAAAAGTTCTAGAGATATGTCCATATCTATAATATAACAGTGAAAAGAAATTATATTAAAAAGAAATTTGTGCACAACGCGTCAATCTTAATTAGTTGCTCTATTCAGTTATTTGACAATACCATCACTTCCTGACATGTCTTGTAAGAAAGTTTTTCTTTATATATAATTATTGAGATTGATTAGAAGAGTTACGTGGAAATTTCATGCCGTTAGTAGATTTTGCACTGTTACAACTTTTTGAATTAGGTTTCAGAAAGTTCATTCGTGCGAGAATTAACGTTCACTTTATTTGAGATATTTGATTGAAAGGTGCATTAAAAATGAGAAATAATTTTTTCCTTTCACCTTCTTTCTATTCTCTTTTTTTCTTTCTATATAAAAGAAGAAATGAAAAAAAATGGTGAAGAAAGTTTGCCATAGAAGAAAAATAACAGAAAAAAAAGATTGAATGAATAAATTTTAAAAAGAATTAAAAATTTTTTGCTAAAATATTGATAAATGAAAAGAGAATATATTTGACGAATTAAAGAGAAGAAGATTTTTGAAAATTTTTAAAATTCCTTTTAGAGGGGAAAAAAATTTGGTTATGATTTTAAAATTCAAGAAATATTTATTATGACAAATAATAATTACTTTGTTATAGAAACTTAGAAAAAGTTTGATAAAGAACTTTGGAAAATTTTAGATGAGAGAAAGATAGAATTCGATGAGAAAAAAAATAAGTTCGAAGAACTAAAAACGATCTTTAATCTATAGAATGTTTGTTTAAGTGAATGAGAAAGTCTCAAAGAAACTATATATAGGTATATATATATGGGGAAAATATATTCAAAAGTAACTTTTTGTGTATTAAACATAATAAATTAATTTCATAACATTCGTTATATGAAAATTATTGGCAATTATATTTTGTATGTTAAAAAAAAATTAAATCTAAAAATAACACACTATTAGCAACAGCATCAAAATTTTATGTCTTGATTTACTTTCAAGAAACATTAGTTTGATATCAACAGTTAATATATGAGGATATTTCATTACCAAGGATTGCCATTACTATGATGCTTACATTTATTTACGATCTTGTACGTTCATAAATGGGCAGATAAAAAATACCTATATTGCATAAATGATGTTTATTTAAAAACTAGTACTTTTTTTACATAAATTGTAATATAGATAATTTTAATTATCATATTGTTCATTATTTTCTGTATCAATTTTTTTTTATTATGTATTATTATTATTATTATAACAATAATTTTCAATTAAGCATAATTATATGTTTGATATAGAAAATTCGTTTGATTTTTTTCATGCTTTAAAAATGTTTTTTATTAATAGATATTTCTCATTTGAAAAGTTTATAAATCAAGTGCGGTACCAGTCATTTGCAGATTGACGTTTATATATTGAAATTAAATTTAAAATTGTTTTACTTTACTGAAACTTTATAATATTTTTTCGACTAGTGAGTATACTTTGTTAGAGGTTTTTTTAATTTTTTCTTTTCTTTTTTTTCAATGACGGCATTAATTCAGTCTTCCGAGTTGTTTAATTAGTATAGGCGAGTTTATAAAGTAATTCTTATAAAAAAAATTTCGTTGAGAAAAGAAAAGTTTTGAACTATATATTGATATATAAATTGGCGCACAACCAACGCGTTGGTAAGAGTTTGAAAAAGTTAGTAAAAAATTAATATTCCAGGGATATTCACCCTTTTAAGAATTTAGCTTACTTTGGCGGAGGAAGTGCTTTGGGAGAATTTCTTCCTTTTCCTACTGGTTCCTCTTCAGCTTCAACGATGGGCACCAATATCATTTCCATTTCTATTTTTCCCTGTATATATATTTACAAAAGAAGCTTCTTTTCATTATTTACTGTTTTTTTTTTTTTTTTGCAAAAAAAAAAAGTAATTGGATTATTAATTTTTATTTTACCTTTGAAAAAATTGCTAATTCAATTATAACCGCAAATTCTTTTTTTTTTTGTTTTTATAAGGATATACTTTCTAGAAAAAAAATAATTTAATTACATACAGCTGGTACATATATTCCTGTCTCGTCCGTTGATCTGAAAGGCCACCAGGCTTTGGTTTTCATAATCTTGAATAAATTAATAGTAGGCGAAGAAGGGTCTAGAAGCTTCAATGTACAACTTTTCGAATTAGGACTTCCCTTGGGGATTTTCGTTAAATCTAAGCTTAGTGATCCTGAGAAGTCAAATAAAGTCGTAAAAAAATTTTAATTCATTGTAAAATATAAAATTAATTTTCCTAATTTTATGTTTTATTGTATTTTTCTCAAATTTCATTGTACACTGAAGAAAAAATTTAGGTTGGTATCATATTGACACAAATTTTTTTTGTGAAAATTTTTATATTGTATAATACGTTAATTATTAATTTATTCTGAATTTTTAATTTACTATTAATTATTAATAATAATAATAATAATAATAATAATAATAATAATAATAATAATAATAATAATAATAATAATAATTTGGGACAAAATTATTGTTTATCCAATAATCTGTATTATTGGACTTGGGATTGAGTATATATATATATACAATATAATACAATATATTTGTATTGTAAAATATTTTCATCATGTTCCAATCGTGTTATTTGTGGTAGAAAGCGTTTCATGTACATAATATGTGAATTCTACAAGTGGATTTAGTGATTTTCTATAATAATTCAGTCATCGTTATTCAGCAATTTTCATATAATTCCGAAATATATTGGAAATTCCCGATGGACGTGTAACAAATATATATACGTATAATATTTACGCTCACAATACATTACGACTTGATTAAAATATCACTATTTTATGTATACGAACATATTTAAATATTCAGATGTATTCAAACATTTAATGGAGGGATATGCGGAATTTATATTACCGCGGAAAATTAATTCATTTTCTATTTTACACACGGTTAAATTCTGACAGGGATCATTTTTGAAATTCGAAAAATAATAAATAAGAAAATTAATTTTCTCGCTTAATCTTTATTCTTCTTTTTTTTTATTATTATTATTAATGACTTGCGTAAAATAATAATTCAATTCAATTTGTCAAAATGTAGGGATTTCGATAGAAAAATAAATTTCGAGTAAATTTCTGAAATTATATCATTTTATTTGGAAAAATATTAATATTATAGAAAATGGGACAACAATTTTCTACTCCATTTAACAATGATCGTTTCTATGTATCTCTTCTTCTGTTATATATATATATATATATATATATATATATAACTATTACGAGGATAATAGTTTCCCTTTTAGAATCTAGAATGCACACAGTGTGATTACCGGAAATGAAAGAACGCTTGCCGGATGTGAGAATAGGTTATTCTCAATTCAGTGGTCGAAATTTTTTCTATTTTATTCAAATAGAAATTTTGTTTTCTATAAAAAAAAGGAAAACAATTTTAATTTTTAATGTAACCATTTTAACGAATCATCATTTAAAGAAACAAATAATAAACTAGAAATTTCTTTTAACAATTTTTAAATTTATAAAACAGGAAAAATATACAAATTCGTTTTGATAAAAAGGCGTTTGGATTTTTTAATTGTACTTTCCAACAATATTATATATGTATTTAAAAAAAAAATGTAAAACAGCATTCCCGAAGGAAACACTTAATTTCAACGAAAAAGTGGTTCATGTCGGTATTTAAATACGTGGAATGTTAGCCTATTCGTTGCGACTTGAAAAAGTAATTACACTCCCTTGAGTTTCTAGGTTGAAGGGTTGCCATTTCATGCGCTAGAGTTTGCACAATTTCGTAACTCTGTGTGACTATATATATATATACTTCCGAAATCACGTCTTTTATGTAAATCGAATCTAGCAAACTGAGCCATTTCTTTCAACTACTTCACTTTTTAAAAGTAATTTTCAAGGAAAATTGAGTCTCACCTAAAAAGTCATCTGAGGAAAAGTGGTCGCTGTCCCAAACCTGGAGATTCAATCTGCACGGTAGTTTCACTTCCGTTTCATCTCGAGCGAAGGCAGACATTTTCTTCTTGATAATCATTAAACGCTCGCCTCTTAAATAAGTCAGATGAAATATGAATCTCCAGTTGAAATTTCCCTCCCCCGTCAACGAATTATAGTGTACGTCGGTCTTTTGAATATCCTCGGGAAGAATCCAACTATGTTCATTAAAAAAAAAAAAAATAAATAAATTTAAGAAGCTAATTTGAAACATGAAATTTTAAATGATTTAGATTTCGAAATTAAATTTTATGCAATTTTGACTCGAAAAAATTGAACAGTTCACATATTTTTGTAACAAATATATATATATGACGGAGCGAAACTTGATAAAGAAAAAATAAAATAATAACATAAAGTTTAAATCATAAATGTAAGTTGTAAAATATTTTTAACCATTTTAAGGAAAATGGTGAAAAAGGATATGCTGAGTATAAAAATAAATATTCCACGTGTTTCCGTTACACTGAGTGCAAAGAAAAGTGTTTCTCTTTTCAAGATAAGAAAAGTAGGAGATTTCTAGTTTTTCTTTTTTTTTTTTTTTTTTTTTTTTTGTTTGCATTTGCACTTTACGAGTAGCGAGAAATATCATTTTTGAAAAAGATAATAAATTTTACTTGAGTGGCGAAGTATGTACGTTGAATGAATTGAATTTAAAGTGGGAAAAATATCTTCCCTTTTTTTTGAAGTTTCCTCTTTGAATAAATTTTTCAAAATGCCAAAAAAAAAGTAATTGCATAGACAGTGCAATTTGATTATATTAAATTTTATTTATTATTTTATTAATGAATTTTTTTGCTTTTTTTTAGATACTTTTGCTGTAAATTTTTTTTTCGACCTTAGGATTGAATTTATTGGAAAAAAAATAGTCTTCTTGAAGTGATGAGAAAAGTTTTGAAATGGAAAAATTTAATATATTATGTATACCCTTTGACGTAGATATCGGAGCACTTTTCGCCAGTCAGGAATTGATTATCAACGAGGGGAACGTTCTCGGTATTCCAAATTATCACACGAAGTTCGAAATCTTCCGGTGCTTGAGGCGTGATATCAATCGGCGGTTTTGGCGGAAGTTCGCTCATCGGAAACATGTCTATCCACATTTCTAACTTTCCCTTAGCATAGATATAAAGACAATTTCAAAGTGTTTAAAACATTATTCTAATTCTATTTTCACTTCATAAATGACATATCGTCTATAATTAGTACTTTTTCTTTTTAATTTAACCAAAATATCAAGAAAAATCTTTTTTTAAATAATTACGCAATCTGATTTATTATTTGAAAAAATATAAAAAATTTTAATTAAAAAATATTTTCCTTTAAAAATTATCTAATTTTTCCACTCAAGTTGTATATAAATGCTTTTAATTTCAATAGAGATGAACTATATATATATAAAATAGCGTCGCGATTGAGGAAACTTGAATAAATTTTTTTTTTTTTTTTTTTATAAAATAGAACAAACTATAGAAAATGTTCGTTAGCAAGAGATTCATCAACTATATACTGTCTTTGATATCAAGTCTTTGAGAAATCAGTATACCTGTTCTAGTCCCGGTTTTGTGTGGTTGAAAAGTGGTCGTCTTTCAACATGCTCGGGTACTAAAGCACAACCGCAAATGGGAAATTCTTCCCAGTGATGAAGGACATTTAAAGCCATACATTCTTCTCTTTCTGTAAAATGAAATAGACCGCGAATCATTTTTACATGATTTTATATTTTACTGTAGAATTTTGTTTTAATTTCTTTTATTTCCTTTTACAAGGTATGTAAAATTATTATAAGCAAATTTAAAAAGAGGACAATTTATTTTATTTTATTTAACAAACATATAAATTTATTATTAATATTATTATAAATAAAAATAGAAAATAAACATTGCAATTTGTATTACCGTTCTCGTTAACGACAATTGCAGTAAAAGGGAATTTTCGTTTTCCAATCTTGACACAATCTTTCTGATAGTCCGGAGAAGGAAGATTGTTCCTCTGGCATAAAAAGTCCAATATCTGAGTTGGTTTTTCCTTATCTCGCCATGCATTGTATCCAGTTGTATTATATGTCCTCGCGATTCCGCAATGCGCTCGGTGTCGACTATAAAATCGATTTTCGATGTCAACTTTTGTTTCTCCAATCAAATCATCTGGCGTGGTTGCATCATAGTCCCAAATCTGTATTGTCATGAGGTGATCCTTTGGAAATGTTGCCTCCATTTCAAAAAATCTGTTTACCAAAAAACGTGATTTCATTTTTAGTTTTTTTTTCCCCTTTTGACAATTTTTTTTTCTATAAGCTAATGCATTCAATGTTTGGAGAAAAAAAAACTCGTTTTACCAAGAGAGCCACTTCAATTTTTAGTTTGCACTCATCGTAAAATACACGAGCTATTGACCCAGCCAATAAACCTCATCTATTGGTTTTATCACAAAATGTGAACTTTTAAATTTTCATTTGTATTTTAAAAAAATTAATTTCGTACTAAAAAAATTTTCCTATTTTTTTTTTAATATTATTTTAATTGAAAAAATTTATTTATAATTAATTACTAAAAAGTTTATATTCATGAAATAGTTTAAGCAGAAAAAAAATTAATTTCACTCAAATAATTGTTTACTTAACTATTATAAATAAATATTTATTTATATCACAATTATTATTTGAGTCAAGGTATTTATTTTAAATACAGATTAAGAATAATTGATTCGAATACAGTTTATTTGATTCAAAAAAGAATTTTTTTCATTCAAATATATATTTATTTAAGACAATAAGTAACAAATTATTTGTAAGAAAGAAAATTTTTTTTTCCATTGTATATAAATTTTCTTCACTTTTATTGATTTTCCATATAGAAAAGTTATTTATTCGAATTTAAACGAAAAACATAAAATTTTATGGAAATATAAAAAAAAATGGGATATTTATTATATACCTGAATCGTTATTATACGTATATAGGTAATTTAAATAGAATTTTTCTTTTACGTTGAGTTTAATGAACAATTGTCTTCATAATATCGTGTAATATCTATGAACATAATTCATAGAATAATTTATCAAGTGAATATCTATGGTTAATTATTATTCTTTAATATAATGATTATTGAAACGCAATTATAGGTCAATGCTTCATAATCGCTCTGAGATTTAATGAAAGTTCATAGACCTCAATTATTGAGCTTTTGTCCTATAAATATCAAATGTTAGCCAGTGACTGTATCTTATTCGCGCAAATATAAAAAATTAAAAAAAATATTTTTATCTCTACGTTTATAAAAAAAAAACTCATAAATTTAAAATGATTAAAGAATGAAATTAATTAAGTCAAAAATTGTTATTATATCAGTAAAAATTTAAATTTTTTAAATGATTATTATTTAATTATATGGTTGTAAAAATAAAGAAAGCTTATAAAAATATACAAATCGATAGTAAAAATAAGGGTAAAAGCTTAAAAAATTGAAACGTCATTAAAGATAATAAAAGTACCTATATAAAACTTTAATCCTAAATATAAAATAAAAATTGTTTAATAAAGAGAAAATATATTTTTAAAATTTAAATGTCATTATACTTAAGAAAATGCAGTTAAAAATAAAATCGTTTTATTTATTTTAAATAAAGAAATACTTTTAAAAATAAATGCGATAATATGCGATAATATGAAAATGAGATTGACTGAATAATTTTTTTTATCCAACATTCTGTAACAATAATAGAATATTATAGGGCTTAAAATTCGTTTCTCTTGTTCTACTTTATTGTGGTCTATATGAATGAAACTTAATTAAACGCGTCTAGTTTGTGCACTTCAGTAACGACCCCAATTTTAATTAGTTTACTGCACCGTTTACTGCGAGTCACTAATTCAACTGATGTGATTTGACTGAAGCAGAGTATTTTATGCATCTGATTTCATCGAACTGAATTCATCAATTCAGTATATATTATTGTGTACTTGATTTCAATTTTATTTTTTAAATAATATATTTTTTCTATTCTCGATTTGAAAAAATCCTTATTCATCACATTAACTATGTATTTAAGTATTTCTTTATCTTTTAATGTTACAAATATTTTCTTAAACCAAATAATTTTTCTTTGAATTAAATAAACTGGTATTTGAATCAATAATTTCTGTATTTGTAATAAATACCATTCAATTAAATCAAATAATAATTATTTAATAAAAATAAATATATTTATTTGATAATAGTCAGAATCAAATATATATTTTTTCCATTGCAGTATAATTTTTGGAAATAAAAATGTATTCTCTATATTAGCACTCACTTGCCAAAAGTTGGATTCAAATTATTTGGAATGTAATTTTTTCGATCGTTGATAGAATTTTTTCCCAGTCTAATGCGAAGATACGGGTCAGATTTTCCACTGAGTGGGTCATTGGGATGTAAATTGATTCCTATATGCCGATAATGAAAATATTAATTTTTATTATTTTCAAAAGTGTACTGAAATTGAACTTTTTATTTCATCTCACAATTTTTTTTAATTAAAAAAATAGAGAATTATTAAAATAAAATTCATAATTATTTAATTTTAAAAAATATTTCAATTATAGTATTGACCATACGGAGAAAAATGGGTTTGTGGTGCAAACAATTTTTGGATTGTTGTCAGTAGATTTGTTGATATTACAATTCGGATTGTTTTCAATACAAATGTATGTTGTTTTAACTGGCATGCAAATCGTCGCGTCGTTTGTTTCTGGCATATGTGCCACTTTTGTTTTTATTATTAGTTTTTTTTTAAATCACAAAGTGCTGTTAAATAATGAATCCGGTTAAAGTGAGAAATCTATTGCAAGTGTAGTGTATGGATTGTTACGTCTCAAATAGAGAAAGAACTAACGAAATAATATTTTATTTTATTTATGGCCACTCGATGATTCAGTGAATTTCTGTTTCATTTACAGAGCAGAAGGCTTTGAGCTAAGGGTACAGGGAAGAAAGAGAATAGTGATTTTTAATGACAAGGTTACAAATTTATTTAGACAAACATTTAGAGTTATAAAATTGATCTTTGAGAGAGAGTATCCTGAAGCAACCATTCTTGAAATAAGGGGAAGTAAGCATTCCACTTGAAAATTTAGATGTAAGTTGTATGAAAAAGGACCACTGCGGTGTCTTCTGTTATGACAGAAAAAGGCTGATACCAGGGATGTTGATTTATAAGCCTCAGGAAGGTTGACGGGCATAGGTAATGACCGTAGGTCCGGAGTTCGAAATGCCGTGACGAAGACCCAACAATGATATTCTTCTACAAAAGGAAGGATAGATGTTTTCCAAGTATATGGAAAGAACAGGTCCTTGTATAGATGAGTATTTCTTAATGTTGAGGTTTATAACACTTGACTATAAATCACTCGTAAAATGAACTTGTATTTAAAAATCGTGCAAAGTAACAAGATTCCGTATATGAAGACGATGAACTGGTACCAAATATGTATAGTAGAAGTAACGTGTATGATGAAAAGTTCTGAACTGAACGTAGCGGCTTCGGTGACAAATCCTAAACTGGTCTCTCCGTATAAATGTAGTCTTTTTATACCAAATTTACGTAAGAGATACTATAAAATTTTATTGTCTTCTATTGCTTTTTCCACCCTTATATTAGAAGCTAGAAGTTTTAGCCTTCTCTCTCTCTCTCTCTCTCTCTCTCTCTCTCTCTCTCTCTCTCTCTCTCAGTTAAACGTAAAAGAGGGCTTGTCCGATTATATTACAAAATTAGAAAGAATCTTTGTTTTAGAATTAGAAAGCCTTTGTTTCCGAATCGCAATTGTAGAAAAGAAACACTAGAGGGGTAGTACATAAGTAAATGGAGAATTAGAAATAGAGCGCCTTCGTTTCAAATCGCAGCTGTGTGAAAAGGACAAAACGCAAGGTTTTTTTATATTGTATAAAAGAAAAGATGCTTAGTCGCAGGGAAACGCAAATCGGTATTGATTAAAAAAAAGGATTCTTATAACATGAATGTAAAAGTTACGGTGACGTGACAGGATGAAGAGACAATTTCATCTTTAACGGTAAGTTATACACGGTTACTATTGAACATAACCTCACCTTAAAAAATACAAAATGTATATTAAATATTATTTAACAACAAATTTCAACTCAAAATAATCTTTTGGTTTCAGGTCGAAGAATTTGATTCAGAAGCTGCATGTTCCACAGATTTTAATGCAAATGAAACTGGTGATATGACCTACGAAAATCTGTTATCGATTATTTTAGAAGGCAAAGAAACTGAACAAATTGTATTAGACGGATCAAAGCTTTGTTAATAAAACAAATTGTATTGCCGATTTTACAATTTAGTTTTGTTATTTCAACTGTTCCATAACAATTTTCTTTGTTCATCAAAAAATTCTGTTTGTTCACGAACAATCTGAATAGTTTTAATAACAATCACATTTTAACAATTTTTTTGTCCCAAAAACAAATAGAACTGCTGGTTCTATATTGACTATCTGGAATTGTTGTGTGGACTTAATTTTAAGTAACCACAAAAATTCTTTTTTCTCCGTGCATAATTAAAATACTAAGTTCTAAAAACTTATTAATCTAATCTATTTGATAGAATCTTATTAATTAAATTGAAGTTAAATTATATTAGAAGATTCTTTAAATTCATTTTTTTTCGTTGAAACTTTTCGTTGATTTTCGTCTTTAGAATTGAAAGTTCTCTTTCAACTTTTCGAAATGAGAGTAGATTAAATGTTTATAAAGAGTCAGTTAAGATTTGGAAATGTTGGATTTCATGAAAAGAGACGTGAAACTAAAGTATCAAAAGTGAAGATGCGCAAAGGTGAATTGAAACTGAAGGGGGTGGGGGGAGAGATTTTATTAGAAAAAGTTTTAGAATGTTGAAGTTTGCTCCTCGTAAGATGAAATTGAGAGAATTCGTTTGCAGGGATTATGGCATCGTATTTCTGCAAAAAAACACATTTCCAAGAAACGATACCATTTTAGAAAAACGATGCGAAACCCTCATTTTCGTAATGCGAAGTCTAGAAGACATCTGCTCCTTGAAAAATTCAATATTTCACAAATATGAATTTTATTGCAGTGAAATAATTCTTTTAAATTTAATTTATAAGTAATTTTATAATTTACATTCAACTGCAGATTTTTATTAAATTGAAGTTTCATTTATTTCAATTTACTAGAATTTAAAAGTTCTATTAAAAAATTGTTTTCTAATTTTTCAAGATAGCAAATATGAATATTTACGTACGCCCTAAAAATCCAACAAGATTTTTAAACAAAAGATTTTTAAAAAAATTTCTTTTGAATACATGAATAATTTTTAACTGAATTCCGGTACCTAAAAAAAGTTGAGAAGAGTATAATTTTAGTTCGTTTATAGATGTGGCATTAATTTGTAAAAAAAAAAATAGACATCAGTTAATACAACTTAAGGCACGAAGCACTCTTTTTAAGCCACAATTGCTGTGAATTTGCATTTAAAATAACTATACCTTTTATAACGTACAGCCGCACAAGTAGTTGAAGCGGTTCCTGTGAAGGATAATCGTTGTACAGACCATCGATTGCATTTCTACCTGTTCTCGATTTGCATAGCAATTGTTCAGGATGAGGCCATTGATATAATGCTATAAATCCCTGAAATTTTCAGAATATGTCACTATTGGGATAATAAATTTTTTTCTACGAAAAAAATGACAAAATTGAAGTAATAAAAAAAAGAAAATTTTTTTTTTCCTTTTAAATTATCACCTTAAATTTTCCGGCAAAATTCTTCTCATCCTGATTTGGGTCACCAGTTCTTTTGCCCCTCCACAATTCAAAAGTTCGAAGTCTGTCTTGAAATCTCGAGAACTTTGGTTCCATTTCTAGTTCGGTGGAATAAATCTAATTGTAATGAATAAAATATACCTGTTTTCTTTTCTTTTTTCAAAAATTATACCTTAAATGTGGGAACTGGTTTTTGACCTGGAAGTAAGTTCCTTACAATTCCGAGTTCACGATTTCTTTCCTCCTATATAATTTTATACGAAAAGGAATTATTATATTTTTGTCTAATTGCGATTAAAAATTAATTTAATAATTTAATGCATTTATTTCTAGTAGATATTGAATTGTCAATTTTTTTTTACTTTCGAATGTTATTTTTATTTTGGAATTTTAATTTAATTTTAAAATTATGATAAAATTTAACAAATTGAAAATAACATTTTCACAAAAGATATATTCATTCTTATCACTATATATATTATATTATATAGAAACGAAAAATTTTCTTCGTTTTCTCTAGGTTTTCTCAATTTTCTAACTCGTTTAGAAAGAGGTATTGCTTCAGGAGAAATATGTTACATATATAACTGTTCAAATAGGAGAAAAATGTTGTTGGTGGAAATTGTAAGTTTACCTCGAGAGAAGCGTAATATTTGCTCCACCAATCATGTGTTTCATCCTTATCCAGCTCGTATACCTCTTCCTTTTTTTTCTCCGATGGTGTACGTTTTGTAAAACGTTTGATCGATCCAAAAAATCTTGTTAATTTTGAATTAAAATCTTGACCCGACATTTTTTTGTAACTTATCAAACACACTGTTTCATCATTTGTTGGATCGTAATCGTCGGGAATTGTTACTTTCAAAATATTTAAATTTAGTTACTAATCATTTTTTTTTTAAATATTAAATGAAAATAATATATATTTTTATTTATATATAATTTATATTTAAAATAAAATTTTGTATTGTAAAAAAAATTATAAATATAAATTTATCAAATTTGTAGAGAAAAAAATTATGTTTTTGACATAAAAAAAATGTTATTTAATTTCAATTTCTTACATATTGTGGATGGAATTTTTTGATCGTGACAAATTTTAACATTTTTCATTTCGTGTATTTGACAATCATAATCCACTTGAGTTATTAATTCCTCTAAAAATTTATAAGCAGTTGGAATAATGCAAACTCCGGCGTATTTGAAACATCCAAAACCTCGTGAATCGTAGGCCTTTATGGAAATTGCTGGACAATAAACACTTTCTATTGGCATGTCCTTTGTTTAATAAAATAAAATTTTGTCATTTATTATTATTATTATTATTATTATTATTATTATTATTATTATTATTATAATTGTGTGTAATTAATTAAAAATTTTAACTGGTATTTAATTTAGAGCAATTTTTTTTATTTTTTAACTATTTTATTATAAGCAAATAAGTAAGAAGATCCCCCCCCTCCTCTTTCATCCCATTTTCCATATATCTAATTTATTCTTAATGCATGATTCCTTAAATGATGAATATTCAGAGGTCGCGATGTATAAACTCGAGTCCAATGACAATAATATGCTTCAAGTTTGAGATAAACCTGAAGTCTATTCCCTCGAGTCCTGTACACCTCTAATTTATTTTAACACATTCTGCACGCGACGAAACTTTCCTAAATTCGGGTTTCATTGAATTTCCAACACCTGCTTTTCTCAATAACGTCTTATTGAACATTTATATATATATTGAGCTATTCCACGTAAAATCAGACACCATTTTGCATTTATATCTCCGATTTTTTTAAAACTTTTTTGTTTTTAGTATACTAATTGAGACTAGCTTTCTTGATTTTTTTCAATTTTTTTTAGCAAGATATGAATTTTACAAAATTTCAGAATTTTAATGATTTTTTATTTTTGAATGCTCATAACTTCCTTCCAGAAAAATAATTTAGGTAGGTAATATATTTTTTTGTAATTTAAAAATTAAAATTTTATTTTTAAAACTGTATGTACTGTTCAATTTTTTTTTCGACAAATTTTCAAAACTAATTCCTTTTGCAAAAATTTTAAGCCCAGTTCGGTCGTGGGAAAGTGATTTTTTCAATATTTTTGGAATTTTTTTTAAAACATCTCCAGTTGTTTTTTATACTACGTACTTTTATGTATTTTTTGATGCACTGATTATAAAAATCATAGTGTCAATATCCACAAATTTTATTTTTATGGTGAAAACCATAATAAAGTCATAAAATTTTTGTTTTTTTTTTATTTATTGGGAAAACATGCAAAATTAAAAAAAGAAACTTTTAAACAAATGTTGTAAATCTTATTGAAATACATTTTTTATACCTTATGAACTTTTTAAAAATTTTGCATATTTTACCCAATAAACGAAAAAAAACCAAAAATTTTAAGAATTTATAGTTTTCACCATAAAAATCAAATTTGAGGGTATTGTCACTATGATTTTCGTATAATCAGCTCATCAAAATATATAAAAATACGTAGTATAAAAAATTTTAAAATTTTGATAATTTAAAAAAACTCTGAAAATATATTGAAGAAGAAATTGTTTTCCCACGACCAGACTAGGCTTAAATTTTTTTTTTTAAATTGAAAAAAAATCAAAGGATACAATTAGTTTTAAAAACAAGATTTTAAGAAAAAATATAGTAAATTTTAATTTTATAATTTTTTGCATGAAAATTTTTGAAAAGTTGACTTTGAAAGAAAAAACTATTAAAATTGATGCATTTTTAAGAAAGTTATGAGCATTCATAAATAAAAAATCTTAAAAATTCTCAAATTTTAAAAAATTTATATCTCATAAATGGCTTGATGAAAAAATTAAAAAAAAATTATAAAGCTCTTTTTTGAAGGGTACAAAACGCGGTAAAAAAATTTGAGCCATATATATACCCAGATAGCACGGAAACTTGCGGCAAGCTTACTGTGCAAGCTTACTGCAAGCTTGTCTGAGCTAGCGAAATGTCCCACCCAGGGCAAGCTTGCCGTGAAAGCTTACTGTAAGCTTTCCAGGAAAGGTTGCTGCAATCTTGCCATGAAAGATTGCTACAAGATTGCTGCAAGCATACTAAGAATGATTGCGGCAAGCTTGCCGTGAAATATTGCTGTAAGCTTGCTACGTAAGGTTGCAGGGGAATTTCAACAAGCTTTCGGAAAGGTTGCTGCAAGGTTGCTGCAATTTTCAAAAAATACATTTTGAATTAAAAAAAAATTTATTTGTTTTCTAAATTTCAAAATCCTTGTGACGTTTATTATTATTAATTATGTCCTGTTTATTTTCATTTGGAAACTTAACGAAAAAATTTTTGAAACAAATTTGAGGGGACTGGAAATTGAACCCGGGTTCGACAGACACTAACCAAAGACCCTAACCGAGAACCTACTCGACCAACTATCAGAGAATAAAAAATCTTGCTCTTAACCCTCGACTGTTTTTATGAGTTGAAAAACAGTTGAAAAACGAGGGTTAAGAGTAAGATTTTTTTATTCTCTGATAGTTGTCGAGTAGGTTCTCGGTTAGGGTTTTTGGTTAGTGTCTATCGAACCCGAGTTCAATTCCCAGTCCCGAGTTCAATCCAAATGAAAATAAACAGGACATAATTAATAATAATAAATGTCACAAGGATTTTCAAATTTAGAAAACAAATAAATTTTTTTTTAATTCAAAATGAATTTTTTGAAAATTGCAGCAACCTTTCCAGAAGCTTGTTGAAATTCCCCTGCAACCTTACGTAGCAAGCTTACAGCAATATTTCACGGCAAGCTTGCCGCAATCATTCTTAGTATGCTTACAGCAATCTTGTAGCAATCTTTCATGGCAAGATTGTAGCAAGCTTTCACGGCAAGCTTGCCCTGGGTGGGACATTTCGCTCGCTCAGACAAGCTTGCATGGTAACCTTGCCGCAAGCTTGCTGCAAGTTTTCGTGCTATCTGGGTATGTAACTGATTAAAATCATATTTGCTTACCAAATCAATGATAAAATGAATATCTTCGAAATTGGAGAATTTCTTTGCATTTTCCATTACTTCGGATTTTACATAGACACCTGAACATTCAATGATAATTCTCGGTTTATAAACCGGAACAAAATTGATTTTCTTCATATCGCGAACACCCCAAAATATCACTTCTAAACGATAATTTGTCATTTTTGGTCGTATATAATCGGGCACTTTATAAATCTTCTTGTTTGTGGATGTGTTTAACGGTAAATCCACGATCTCATCATTTCCCACCTGGAAAATTAGCGAGGCAATTTTTTATCATTAATAAATAATAACAATAATAATTTATTTTTCTTTTTTGTAAGCCAGTTTATACTACTAATAAATAAATGAATAATAATAATAATTTATTTTGAATTATTTTTGAAATCTGTTAATTAAATTTTTTTTCGTTGAAATAACAAAGTCCCATCTGTCGAAACAGTGAAACAGTGCGGATAACAGGCTCTCTAAATGGGAAAAATACGATTAAAAGACATCTGTCACCTCAATGAGTTCAAAAGCTGCTAAAACCTCGCCGCTACATTCCCTTTGGGAGTGAAATTTGTACCATTGCAAAGTGGGCGGAAAATTGGGTGGTGAATATGTTTCCGAGTTGAGTTTTACTATCGGGGTTGCAATGCATCTACCACAAAATTCCGTTCCCTGAAATAAGCCGACTATAAAACCTCAAACAGCATTTTGTACGTATGTGTATATATATAAATATACTGTGGAAATAAGTGGAAAGTTATTAAACCGTATTTGTGTTTTTCGCTCAGATGACTTCATTAAAATATTGAACGTTACTTTATTAAAAATCATAAAAAAAATTTACGTTTCAACAATATTTTCAATTTATACTTGAATTCACATACATATCATAAATTTGATATAATATTCATGAAAAAAGTTTTCTTTTTTTTTTATTTAGCATAATGTTTTTTATGTTTAGAAAACTTATTTAAAGGAAGATTTTTTTTAACTTAAAATAATTATTTAACTGTAAACAATATTTTTGAAAAGGTTTGATTATTTTGAAGAAAATTTATTTAGTTTAAAAAGAAAAATTTTTTAATTTAATAAATGATTTTTTAAATCAATTAAATATTTTTTTTGCCTCTATAAATAATTCTTGTATTTTTCCTTTCTTTTAATTATTTTTTTTTCTTTAATTCAAAAAAATTGTTTTCTAATTTTTCACTATGTAAAATACAGTTTACTTGTGTAGATAAAATATAACCTTCACTGGTATAATTATTTTTTATAATAAAAAAATTCCAATTACACAAAAATCCTTGTCAAAAATTTCCAATACGATTTTTGGTGGAAACATTTTCAAGTGATCTCTTGTTCCATATAACTCGACAGGAGGGAAAATTAGTGTTTGATCCCAGAAAGGGTCGAGGCTTTGTTTAATAACCTGTCAGTTACACAATGACTGAATAATAATTTTGTTACATTAATTATTATAAGCGACAACTTATATTATGCAAATAATATTTTTATCATTTTATTTATTATATAGTAGGGTCAGTCGGGGTAAATCCGAACGGAGGGTAAATCCGAACGCTAATTATTTCAGCTTAATTAAAATTTTTAAAAATAAGTTCGATATGAGAATTTTTACCTCAGATCCTCTTGAAGAGATTCTAAGTATTATCCCATTTTTTGTTTGTTAATTAGCAACAGCATAAACAAAGATAACAAGTATTGCAAAAAAGATTGAAAATCAAAGATGACACTCTTTCAGTATTTTGTCTCGTATTTGAAGAAAAAGAAGCTAAAAATTCATTTTATTATTTATAATTGTTTGTTATGAATACTAGAACAGAAACTATATTTGATTTTTGCCTTCTGTAAAATTTTATTAATAATATCAGACCGTTCGTATTTACCCAAGAAAATTGGAAAACTGGGGTAAATCCGAACGGTATTTTTAATAATTTTTTTTTACATCAAAGCCACATAAAATTGTTTTTATTTGATTACACTATTATTTTAACATTATAAAAGTACATAGAAAAAAGTTTTTCTTTCTATACGTATCCTCGTTAGTAATTAATAAGCAGAAACTTAATCTCTGTTCTCTCGAAGGAGTGTTTCAATTTTTTTGCCAAATGGTTTGTTGAAAAAAGTTTTTCAGGATCTTAATAAAATTTGGTATTCTACGGTTTTTGGGGTCGCTAATTACCAATTTGAAGTCAGTTTTTCAAAATTCAAAATGGCGGACGAGAATTAAAAAATTCATTGGATTCGCTCGAAAATTGTTACTCGGGGGGTTTCAGGGTTAGCAAATTTGATCATTTTTAAAAATAAGTTTTAGGAAAGTACGCCATTTTGAATTTAAAAAATTTGACTTTTATTTTTGTATTTACATTCAATCACTCCAAAATACTTTGTGTAGCAAGTTTTGCAAAAATCCGTTATGATTTGATAAAGTTATTAAAGGTTTTAATTGTGTAATGCATTTTAATTTTTAACCTGTTTGATTTTTGTATTTATATATGATGCATTATTACATAATAGGTTTATTATCGTATTTTTTTTGAGTTTTTATATAAGTTTAACAATTGCAATACTTTAAATTTATTTTCCCTAAGATTTTTCTGAAATACAGTGGCGTTCGTATTTACCCCCATATTTTAGGAAAGTTGCAAAGTATCGAGGTAAATACGAACGCTAAGTTTCCTGCGATTGTAATTTATCAAAAATTTTTGCTACCCCATAAAATTGTTCTATGGAAGTAAAGTAACAACTTCATGCACCGGAATACCGGAAGTATTTTTTTTTTAAAGAAAAAACTTATGTTATTGTTGAAACTTACTAAAAGCGTTCGGATTTACCCCGGTTGACCCTACATTAGCAAATTTATAAATATTATAAAACATTATATTTTGTGTAATTTATTAATTTAAACTTTTCTAAAAAAAAAAAATTAAATATATTACAATAAATTATTTGATTATTTTTATGTAAAATAAAATATTTACATGAATAAAGTTTATATGAAAAAAAAAATTAATTAACTCGAAAAAAATATCTTGACTTTTCTTTGTAAACTTTTTTTTTTTTATTTTTTTTTACTATATACTAATTTGATTTAGATTAAATGAACTATCTTGTGACTTACTGTCGACGTCAAGGTGTAGCCGTAAAATAAAACTCGCACCAATGGATCCAATAAGCCCGAGGTGTCCATTCCCGGTTCAAAGTGCCCTTGAAATATGTGAGCTCGTAACTGGAATTTCTGTAATTTATTTTATTACTTTTTAAGAACGTTGATTTCCACAAAAGAGTCATAAGTCGCGTGACGGGATTTTAGAGTTGCAACTGTGTGTGAAAAACGTATAAACCTATATAAGCTCCGAAGATTTTTATTTTCCTTTTCAAGAACATATTACTTATACTTTTTCTTTTTTTTTACTTTTTCGATTGTCTTTTCACATATAATTTTTTTAGAATTTATTTTACTGTGCAAATTGAATTAGAAAGAATTAAATTTTTTAAAGAAAAAAAAAATGAGGATCAATTTTTCAAAATCTGATAAATCGAGTATTGAAATATTTTTTTAAACCTGATTTTTATCTACAATATATTGAAATATGTATAAAAATTATGTTTGCAAAAAAAATCACTGTAAAAAAATTTTTTTTATATAATGGGAAACGTGGAATTTTTTTTTTCCTTTTAATTTTAGTTTGATATGGAAAAATCTCATTTTATTTTTAATTAAAATTTAATTTTTTTAAAAAATATTTTTAAGTTTAGCATATCGTTATTTTTTTTTTAAATGATAAATATCTGAATCAGTGGTATATAAATTTTTTTTTTTTTTTTTGTAAATGACAAATATCTGAGTCAGTGGTTTATAAAAAGTAAATATAAAAATTGTAAATTCTGGTACGTAAAATATGACATAGAAAAAAACAAAAATGAAGTACCGAGGACTCGTTGTATTTGAAAAATCGTGGAAACGTGTCAAGGTTCAATTGGTGATTGAGCTCGTACCCTGATGGTATTGCACTCCAGCAAGCCTCAACGTATCTCACATTTCCCATCCATAAAAATATTTCCACTTTACATGCGTTATAATCGAGTGAATCGCTTTCGTCTTCGACATTTTTCATGAATAAATTTATACACTCTCCACATTCTGCACCACGTGCCACATTTTCGTCCGTGTAAATAATTTGTTCGGCTGGTAATTGAGCGTATGCTACGCGCTTCGATCCCACCAACATCCAAATAAATATATCTGGCATATTATGCTGTGGCTAAAAATATTTTTAAATCAACAAAACAAAAAATAAACTGTGACAATTTTTGTGCTCTTAATTTTTTCAAAATCATAAACTTTCAAATCTAAATTTTTGTTGAACTTGGATTTTTAATATTTTTATATAATATATTTAATATATTTACATCTTTGCAAAGATCTCGAATGATTTTAAGAAAATGATAGGCATGTGTTGTGGCAATATTTATATAATTATTATTGACGAGCTCTCCATTAATTTTAATGACTTTTAAAATATATTTGATTTCTTCACGACACAAATTGACTCTGTGCCTATCGAGTCTGGTTGTACCACCTTCGTCTTCATATCTGCCCGTATCCATTAAATGTAGATAGTGCAAACAATACTGCTTTAAGGATTTAATCAATTCATTGTATTTCACGTAAGCGCTTTCATGCTCCACTGCAATTAAAGTCTCTAGTTTTTCGAGCTCCACCTCCTGAAATAAAACATTCTTCGTGATTTAAAAGGTGCCGAGGAGAATTGCTATATTCATCCACGGTGGTGTTTTTTTTTTCCTTTTTAATTATATCAAACTTTCGATATACGTTTTCTAGAGGTCTGTGTAAAGTTCTCACAATTTATGTGAATCTATTTTCTAGAGAGATAGCGAATTTAATGTAAAAATTACTAAAAATAAATGAAACTTTAAAAAAACTTATCCTCTAATTTCTTGTTTTTTTAAAAAATTTTATATTTAAAATCGAAGTTTTGAAATTTTAAAAAGTATTTAGTACAAACTTGAACAAAATATTGTCATGTAAATCTAAATTTTAATAAATATTTTTTTCGAAGAAATAAAATTTAACCTTGTAAATCAAGATCAAAGTTTTAATTTGCATATATCTCAAAATTAGATTTTTTTTTTGCTTTTTTTTTAATTATCTCAATGGAAAGCTTGATTAATTTTCTATTAGATATGTAATTTTCAAAATGTGATCTTTTAAAATTTTAGAGATATTAATAATTAACCCCTTGACAGTCCAGGGCCCATATGTGGCCAGAAAAAGTCGTGCCACCTCTGTGCAAGTGGCCATATATGGCCATCGCAAAAAAATAATACTAAATTTAACTTGATTCGTCTGAAATTTGTTACTCGGGGGTTTTTGGGGTCGCTGAATTCAAATTTAAAGTCAGATTTCAAAAAAACAAAATGGCGGACCCAAAATGGCGACCATGAAAACTTAAAATTTATCAGATTTACATGAAACTCGTTGCTCAGGGGTTTTCGGGGTCTCTGATTACGAATCTGAGGTCGGTTTTTCAAAATTCAAAATGGCGGATCCAATATGGCAACCCAATATGGCGGATAATTTAAAAATTAATGCGTTTTGACCACAAATTGTTACTCGGGGGTTTTCGTAGTCGCTGAATTCGAATTTGAGGTCAGTTTTTCAAAATTCAAAATGGCGGATCCAATATGACGGACAAATTTTTAAAAAATCAATCCGATTTTTCTGAAATTTGTTACTCGGGGGTCTTTGGGATCGCTGAATTCGAATTTGAGGTCGGTTTTTCAAAATTCAAAATAGCGGATCCAATATGGCGGACAAATTAAAAAAAAATTTTTTTTTTAAATTTGTCCGCCATAGCGGATCCAATATGGCGGACAAATTTAAAAAAAAAATTTTTTTTTAATTTGTCCGCCATATTGGATCCGCCATTTTGAATTTTGAAAAACCGACCTCAAATTCGAATTCAGCGATCCCAAAGACCCCCGAGTAACAAATTTCAGGCAAATTGGATTGATTTTTTAAAAATTTGTCCGCCATATTGGATCCGCCATTTTGAATTTTGAAAAACTGACCTCAAATTTGAATTTAGCGACCCCAAAAACCCCCGAGTAACAAATTTCAGGCAAATTGGATTGATTTTTTAAAAATTTGTCCGCCATATTGGATCCGCCATTTTGAATTTTGAAAAACTGACCTCAAATTTGAATTTAGCGACCCCAAAAACCCCCGAGTAACAAATTTCAGGCAAATTGGATTGATTTTTTAAAAATTTGTCCGCCATATTGGATCCGCCATTTTGAATTTTGAAAAACTGACCTCAAATTCGAATTCAGCGACCACAAAAACCTTAAATATGATGAAGTCATATTTTTTTGGAAACTTTTTTTTCGGACCGTTTTAGGCCCACCAGCGATTTTTAACTCGACTGCGAAGGGGTTAATCAGCCGAGCGCGCCGCTAAGCCGCGGCAGATAAATTGGTGCTCTTACGTGTAAGGAGTGTTGCCTACCGGAACATAGTGGTGCGCGGCTAGAGCGCTCTCGGAGGATTAATTATTGTTAATATTTGAAAAACTTTAAAAGATCCCACTCTAAAAATTACATATCTTATAGAAAATTAGTCAAGCTTTCCATTGAGACAATTAAAAAAGAGTAAAAAAAATACAATTTTGAGATATATGCAAATTAAAACTTTGATTTTAATGCATTACTAATTCTAGCTAATTGTTCCTCTTAAATTAATTTTTTTTAGTAATATAAATTCTTAATTATTTTTAATAATATTATTAACTTGCTTAATTTGAAAAATATTTTATGTGCAAAAAAAAAAAAACATAAATAAAGTTGATACTTACGAGAAATTTGGCAACGTATGAAAGAGCGTTACTGTTGATTGTTCGCCATTCAACATTTGGCCAACATGATTTAACATAAATGCAGGGTTTACTTGAGCCTAGGGGCATGTAATTATATTTTTCATCCATTGTAACCGTTCCTCTCGATTGAGTTCGACTCTCGTACTGCAGATTCGTTTCCATTGTTTCTTCATCTAAAAAAAAAGTAAATGATTTTTTCCCCATCTAAGTATATAAAAATTCTTCTTTATTTATTTCAAGATTTTTCTGCATTTCAACAATTTTATCAAATAATTTCATTTTGATCAAATTTTATTTACAACCGTTTTTTGCATTATGTTAATAATGTTACTTCTTTTTTGTTTTTTGTTTTTTTAAAATTATTATTATTTTTATTATTATTATTATTATTATTATTTGTATGAGTTATTTTTGAATTACGATTTTTTTTTAGATATAAAGAAAAAAAATTGTGCATATATTTTTAACGAACCATCAGATTCATCACTTTCATTAAAAGGGCATTGATTTTGTGAAAATTGTTGGTTTCCTGAATTTCCCAAATTGATTTCGAAACTTATAAATTTTGACTTAAATCGACTTCGATCTATCATGCATACATCGTAGATTATACCAACCAAAAGATATTGCTCGGTGTCCCAAAAACTTTTCTGTCATCAGAGAAGATTAATATTTGCACATAAAATAATTTATCAAACAATAAATAATATGATAAATTATACCATAAAGCAAATTATTAAAATATAGCACATAAATATTAAATCTATATATATTTAAACTATATTTTGAAAATTTTCAATTAAAAATATTACACGTTTATTATTTTCATTTAATGATTATAATGTTTAGAAGAAAAATGTTTATTAACATTATTAACAATATTATTATCAAACAAGTTTTATGTCTGATGAGAAAACGGGAAATAGCTATATTTACTATTTAATTTAAAATAATGCAAAAGAATTAACTGTAAAGAGATTTGGTCGCGTCTTATAAGTTATTTAATTTCATTTATTATTTAATGAAAATTAAGTGAATGTTATGTGACAACTTGTGTACGCACTGCTCAGTAATTTAGGAAAGTTTGCGGTTTGATGACTAAGTGGAACGTTAAGTGAGATCTACCGAAATTGGTCATAAATTTTAGTTCCAATAAGTTGTACGTATTGGATTCGGATACTAAGCTCGTAACTCAAAATTTAATGACTAACTTTGGTACAACTGCTTTATTGAATTTTTTAAATAACATTGCCAAGGGAAATCTTGTGTTAATGGCAACTTCCTTCAATATAATTTAATTCTCTTAAAATTTAATTTTCAATTGCATTGTTGTTTACATAAAAAAAGCTCATCAAATTTAATTAAAGATTAATTTATATGATTTAAACAATATCGACTTTGAAATTTATCTTTTTCGTTAAATTAATTGATATATTTTTAATTAAATAATTCTATAGAATATTTGATCAATAGTGACAAAAAAAATGTATAGATATAATTAGAATAATAATTAAAAAAATTTATCATTAAATAAAAATGAAATGAGAATTTTTTTTACTTTAAATATTTTAAAGTTAATTTGATTAATTTTAAACAAATTTTTACTTCTTTGATGGATGCTGCGGGTTCTATTTCAACTCCAGTGGCTCCAGCAGATTCAGGATCATTGATTTCCGTTTTCAGTGAAAGTAGTAATCTTCCACGATAAATCGGCAGTGGAACTGAACAATTTCCTATGCAGGAAATTTTTCTCGCTGATCCAATGCCATAAAAGTGGATGAAAGATGGACCAAATGTAGGCAGAAATCCTGATGGAAAAACAAATATAATATGATAAATTGAATTAAATTTTACACTTCAAAAATCTTTTTCTTGACTATATCAAAGTTATAAAAAAATAATTACTCTTAAAAATATCATTGTTATGAAATTTAATTTTAATTAATAATAATAAACAATGGAAATAAAAATATAATCGTAGTACAAAATATAATTTTGGATTTTAATAGTTGTACAAACTAACATTATTACCGGTTATACAATATTATAAAAATTTTCACAAAAATATTTCTATCAATATGATACCGACCCAAAAAAATTTTAATTTTAGATCAAAAAGTACCACAATAAATAATTAAATAATTATTTTTAAATTTTACCATTTTCTCCAGCATGTGATATATCTTTTAAATTTAAAGTGTAAACAGCAATTTCATTACTACTGCAACTTCGTATTCGATTTTTTAAGGCAATTCTAACTCGATGAAATAAAGGCGGGAACATTTCTTTAAAAATAATTTTTTCATCAAATCTATGTTCGAAAGTACGTTTTCCTTCACTTGTTTCAGCCTGAATGAAAATAATTCAAATACCTATTTCATCATGTAATTTATTAACTAAACTATTTATTATTGAATTTATTTAATGAAAAAATTTTTTTTTTTAAATATTCAAAAAAAAACACATAAATATAGAAAAAATTTATCATACAATCATAAAGTAAGGTCAAAATATGATCTCCATAAATCTCAGTTAATCTAACTATATTTTCCTATTACAGTTTTTAGAGTGACACAGAGAAAAAATAAAAATTCTCGTAATAGTGATGTACATACTATCATAATATTATCCCCTAAGTATTCATAATAAATTTTACAGGACATAAAATTGTTTTATGTTAAGATCATAAAACTTTTTTTTATATATGGGAAATATATGTACTTTAAAACATGCTTAACAAATTTAAACTATAAATAAATATATATATATATACATTTTGTTTTTCTTTTTTACGAGAGATTATATTTTTCTTACTTTCATTCCTGCAAAAGATATTTGCACAAATGGGTTTATATCTTTAGGGTCTCGTGAGCAACGACAAGAACCAATGGAACCTGCCAAACTATCGACTCGATAAATTATAAAAATGTAACTGGCTCTAAGTCTTGTAGGCTGCAAACCATCTCCCAAGGGAAGCAATAAATTTCTGCAGTAAAAGTTATTAAATTTATTTACGTTCGCGAAACTCGCGAAAATGTATTAAGAGTGTAAAAAAAAAGTTTTCTGAACATTTGAAAGAAAGTTGTGAATTTTTATTTAAATTCAATTTCAACACGGAGAAAGAAAAAAATATATATATATGTTTTGAACATTCATTTATATATTGAAAAATATGCGAGATACCTATTCATTTTCTATGGTTGACACATTCATCCTATTTCTTTAGTTGACATATTATGGGCAAATCCACAGAATCGTATGATTTCATATTACTCTTGATTTAAATCATTTTAATTATATTATATAATTTTTTTTTTTTTTGCTATCAGTTATTTTTTGCTGAAAATTTATTCGATACTGAAAATGGCCGACAAACAATCGACAAAAATATATTTCGTAGCCAATTTTAAAATTCCACAATTTTCTGAATAATTTCTGATTGGTTTATTTTTAAAATTTGCACCGACATCTTTTTGTCAATATTGTTTGTCGGATATTTTTAATTTCGGACAAAAATAAAAATTCGGCGTTTTAATCTATCAAATAACAATTCATGTAAATAAAAATTTGGACTAATTAAAATTCGGTGAATTGAAATTTTTGGCATTTAATAATTCAAATCACTTAAAATTCTGTTAAATGAAAATTCTTCTAAATTAATATTTGATTAAATTAAAATTTTTTGAATAAAAAGTTGCTAAAGAGAAATTCTATCAAATAAAAGTTCTGTTAAATAAAAATTCGTCTAAAAAATAATAATCATATGTAATTAAATTCTTTAAAATGAAAATTCTATTGATTTTTAAAGAATACGAAAAATTTTGTGTCAAAATAATAACGACCCTAGAAATTAATGTGTCAACCATAGATGGCTGATAATTATTAAATTAGTTTCTAATTTTTAATTAATACTGTCTTAATTTGAATTAGTGAAACACACTTAAAAAATAATACTTACTTTCAGTTCACTTTTGACTAAAACCGTTAACATTAGAAACATTTTTACTGAATTTCAGCCTTGAGTGTATTATTTTAAGTCCTAAAATTGACTTAATCTAGTTTTAAGATTAAAATTACACTAGTTTTAAGGAATTTTGATTTTAAGATGTTAATGGTTTCAGTATTTGTTTTTTGTGTGAAATACACTGGTGAATAAGTAAAATTCCACTGATTTAAATTAAGAGAGAATTTATATAGAAAGCAAATTTTTTGATTTTATTAATATAATAATTACCCTTCGATATCGTCTTCACCATCTGTTTCCGGATGAACTTTTACTTTTTCCCCTTTTATTTGAACATTAATGTTACATTTAACATAACCTTTAGCTCCAGCTAGAGGATCTTTTGGATTTGTGAGCATTGCCCATTTGTGATAATATTCATGATCTTATTCGAAATATTAAAAATTCATATAATTCAAATATTTATAATAATAAAAATCATGTAATTGTATAATAATTATTAATACACAAGTTGTTGAAAAAAATTCTATATCCCATAATTAATAATTTTTTATTAATTTTTTGCAATTGTTTAAAGTATCTTTAGTTATAAATGTAAATTGAAACTTATATCAATGTCGTGATTTGATTGAAAATTAATTAATTATATATCTGAATTTTAACGAATGTGTACTGTAGTTTGAAAGTGAGAAAATTTATTTATTTTTTTAAATAAGATATTATAAATTTATATATAAGTACATGTTTGAAAGTACCTGGTTGATCCCAGACTGTAGCGACTTCGAAAACTATGCTGCCGTAAAATTTGATTCGCTTCAGGCAACCTCTCAAATAAACTGATATGATAATTTTCGTGCTCAGAAAAACGTCAAAACTACTCGATAGGTTAAATACAAAATACTAAAAAGAAATAAATAATTAATATTGAAAAATAATGAAATAAAAATAAAATATTTCATTTCAATTTTCTCAATTGAAATAGCATTTCATTATTTTGTTTCTGAATTAATATAGAAAATTTATTAATATTTTATAAAGAATGATTTTGACAATATTAATTAATTAATTTTTATACATAAATTAGATATGTGAAATAAATTTCAAAGTTAAAATTTGTGCTTTAATTAAACAAAGTGATATAATCACCTCATTATAAAAGGGGTTATCTGTACGTTCACGAACAACTGTTCTTTTTTTTTGGTTGCCTACTTTTACTATGACCAAGGGATTACTGTTTTGCTGCAGGTGTCTTGCTTCGAGAATTGTCACTGAAACTTGATATGAGCTGTGTTTAGCATGCTTTTTCACAAGAGGCATTTTTGTTGAAATTTTTTTTTTTATTTTTACTTTGAAATGTCAACAATGAATTTGCCTCGAAATACAAAAAGGACTTTCGTTTGTTTAATTTATCAAATTACGTATATTTTATTTAAACTTTAATATTTTCAAACTTTTTGAAAAAACATTGATAATACATAATAACAATAATACTTGCTCAACGGAGGAAGCAAAAATGATTATTATGGTAAAAAAAATATAAATAATAATAATAATAATAACTAACTAATAATTCATATAATTACAAATTTCCAGTTAATTAATAGTTGTAAACAAATTTATCATTATGTACTCAAAATTTTTGTAATATAAAATTCAATATTAAATTTTAATTATTTAAAAAAAAAATTAATGTTTGTATAGAAAATGATTTCTTTCAATTCAATTAAACTATTTTTCTCCGTTTTAATGATGTAACATTAATTATTTTATGATATAAATTTGATTAATTTAATGAAAAACAAAACTGGAATATTTTTTTAATATATTTGAAATTTTTTTATTTTTCAGAAATAAGTGTAGAATACGCGAGCAGCGCTTCATTGGATAAAGTAGAAAATAACTGGAAATCTCTTATCCCATATTGGTAAGTTACAAATCAGAAAAGTTGAATTCTACTTTTAAAGTTATAACCAATATTGATTTTCAATGAAAAAAAAACAGGCAAATTGGTAACTAAAACAAAACGTAAAATCTTCTCTATCAACAAACGATGCATGGAATATCTTTTTTTTATTCTATACATAGAACGTAAAATTCAGAACATTTCATAAATAAGAAAAGTATTTATATATTTGAACTGAAAATATTTATGAATATATATATATATGAAAACTATAACAAAAAAAATTTTTTAAATTAAAAAATTGCTAAATTATAAAAAAAAATTGACAATTTTCAAACTGTTTACAAAAGAAATTAAAAATTAAATGAAAATTACTCTGAAATTGATTTTAAAATTATAGTTTTTAAAAAAATTTATACATTTTTAATTTTTTAAATCAGTCAAATTAATAATTGATGAAATTAATTAATAATAATAATCTCAAAAAATAGGTTTTCTTAATTTCATCAATCGAATATTATGATTGTTTGTGATTATATTTATCATTATTTTTTTTTAAATCTATTTTATCAACTGACAATAAAAAGGATATTGTAGATTTTCGGTAAAATTCTACTAATTGATTTAATATTCTACTGATTGATTAAATGACTCCGTTTCCAGTAAAATTTGACTGATTCACATATACGATTTTATAACTTTATATTTAATAATTTAATATTTTGGTTTTATTTAAATACTACTAATATTCCAAAGATTCAAATTTTTAATTGAATCTTAAAATTCTTTGTAACATTCTTTAAAAATTATTAATTAATTTCTGTGATTGAAAATAAAATATTGATTGGTTTAAATTGATACTAAGAAAAAAAAAAAATTTTTTTATAAAAAATATACTTTGTGTCATTATTATTTGGCTTTTATTATTATTATTATTATTTTATTATTTATGAAATATAAAATGAAGAAAGGATTCTCGCGTTGAATCGTGAGCAATAAGAAGAAAGAGATATGGTTTTTGAAATAAAAAAAAAAAAAAAAAAAAAAAAAAAAATAATGGCATACATGTGTTGAGATATACGATATGGCGTTGCGAATTGTGTCGACTCCTTGCTGTAATTCCTTTTTAAGAGAAATAAGAATTTCTCCGGTAGAGAACAAACAAGATTTATTGATCGACAAACAAAATTCGTGGGTTGTAAAAAAAGCGTAAGTTTCGCGCGAACTGGATTTATTTCACCAATTTGTTGGGGACTGATACAAGTTGCATGGACCTTCGAATTCAGGGTCTTGGG